CATAGGGAGACTCTTTGTTTTAGAAAGGCTTCTGGAAATTTTTCTTAATTTATTTTGAGGTTAGTTTTCTACTGTAATGACATTATTATTATTATTATTATTATTTTTAACAGGCAGAGTTAGACAGTGAGAGAGAGAAACAGAGAGAAAGGTCTTCCTTTTTCCGTTGGTTCACCCCCCAAATGGCCGCCACAGCCAGCGTGCTGCTCCGATCCGAAGCCAGGAGCCAGGTGCTTCCTCCTGGTCTCCCATGCGGGTGTAGGACCCAAGCAGTTGGGCCATCCTTCACTGCCTTCCCGGGCCAGAGCAGAGAGCTGGACTGGAAGAGGAGCAACCGGGACAGAATCTGGCGCCCCAACCAGGACTAGAACCTGGGGTGCCGGCGCCACAGGCGGAGGATTAGCCTAGTGAGCCGTGGCACCAGCCAATGACATTATATTTTATCTCATTTTTCCCAAGGTGTTTTGAGCCAAGTAATTCTCTGAGATATGTACTCTGACTTCTGGGTGAATACGGAAGTAAACTGTATCCATTGCAGTACTGCTGCTTAGACCACTGTCAGACCTGGGAGCAGCAGAAGGCAAAATCAATTTGTTGTTTTGTGACTTCATTTCCGTTTTCTATAATTTACATTCTGAACACATGGACATGTGTAGCTCTTATGACAACAAAAGGATCTCATTGCATTCAAGTTCTTTAATCGGCGATATACACCCTGGATGAGAGTAACCACAGTGGGCTGTGAGCTTTTGGAGAACTGAGAAATTGTCTCCAGATTGGCACCCGGTCCCTGTGTAGTTTCAGTCTCGCTTACACTATATTCCGAAAGCCAGGCTCCATGCAGAAGGAATACACTGGGCCTTGAAGGGTAAGTAGAAGTCCAACAAATGAAGAAGGGAGCAAGGACTAAAAGACACACTACACTGAGAGCAAAATCCAGAGGTCTGGGAGCACAAGTGATGGTGAAGGAACAAGTCAGTGCACAGATGTTAGCAGGTAGTCATGGCAGTCTGGAGTGCTTTTTATTGATCTTTTGTTTTGTTGCTGTTTTAGTAATGAAGGTAGACATTCTAAACTAAAATAGCTTCAGCTAAAATTTGCAAAATACATAGAGATGATGTGAAGAAAATATTTAATCATATGGAAAAATAGCCATGACATACTTTAACATGTTTAGAAAATAAAATTTGTCATGGTTTGAGATAATGTTCCACCACAGATACTGGGAGAACGATCTTTGTCGTTATGCCTTTAACAAACAATAAAAGAATACAATGATCAAAGGGCTGGTACAAAGAATTGGCTATGTTTTTGATAACCACACTTGTTGATTTTTAGCCTCTGTAAACAACAATTTCTTTACATATAAAATGGTAATGCTAACTTATACGTATTGTCAAAAACCCCTCCAAAAAATTGTACCAATTTAATTTAAATTTCTGAAAAAAAATCCTTTGTCTATTACCTATATAATTCCAAACAAAATATCTGCTTTTGGGGGGTCCAATTTTATATGCAAAAATAAATTATTGTCATTGTTTCCTTGTTTACTACAATATTTGCCAATTTTTATATTGACAAGAAACTCCTATTGAGCTCTTTCTTTCTGATTATGACTGGCTAAAGATATTAATATTTGAAATTCTAATATAAATGCTGTAAATATTTTTTTTCAATTTTTTGTTTGCCTTTCCATGTAAATTACGCTATTATTGAACTGCAGATAGGCTGTCTTTGCAGTCAGGCCTAACAATATTGACATGTATGATGCCTGCCTTGTGAGGATGCTTAGAAATCCCTCACCAAGGGGTCAGCACTGTGGCCTTCAGCGGCAGCATCCCATATGCACTCCAGTTCAAGTCCTGGTTATTCTACTTCCGTTACAATTCCCTGCTAATGTGCCTGAGAATGCAGCAGATAATGGCCAAAATGCTTGGCCTTCGCACCCATAAGGGAGACCCAGATGAAGCTCCTGGCTCCTGGACTAATCCCATATGCTGCAGCCATTTTGAGAGTGAACCAGAGGATAAAAGATTCTCTCCTGCTCTCTCTCTTTCTCTCTCTCTCTGTAACTCTACTTTTCAAATAAATATACACACCTTAATAAAAAGAAATATTTCCCCATATTCAAGATTTTGTGAATGTTTGCTTATGGTTGTTTATTGCTTTACATATAAATTTTTAATCTTCATAAACTAGGAATCAATGTTTGTTGTTTTCCAAATCAGGTACTAGTTATTCTAATCTTATTTATGCAATAATTTATCATGAACCTACTAACTTACATGTTGGATCCTAGACTTACTATTATTTTCCATTTATCTATATATGTATCTACAATCTATTAGGGATATACCTTTTAATCTCATAGCTTTCTTTTTAAAAAAAAATGTATTTATTTATTTGAAAGGCAGAGTTATGAAGAGCGAGAAGGAGGGACAGACAAAGAAATCTTCCCTCTTCTGGTTCACTCTCCAAATGGCCCCAACAACCAGGGCTGGAGAATGCCAAAGCCGTGAGCCAGGAGCTTCTTCCAGGTCAACCACACAGATGCAGAGACCCAAGCACGTGCACCATCCTCTGCTGCTTTTCCAGGCACATTAGTCAGGAGCTGAATTGGAAGTGGAGGTGCTGGGACTCGAACTAGCACCCATATGGCATGCTGGCACTGCAGGCCAGGGCTTCAACCTACTGAGCCACTGCGCCAGCCCCAATATCTTAGCTTTATAACATCTAAGCCTGTTTGTTTGAGAAAACAAATTGGCATTTGCCTCGGTCTGTTTGGGCTGCCAAAACAAAATACCATTGACTGCATGCCTTGAACAACAGAAATATATTTTCTCACAGTTCTATGGGCTCAAGTCCAAAATTAAGGTCTGGTAGCATTTGGTTTTTGGTGCGGGTTCTCTTTCAGGCTTGCAAGCTGCAGCCTTCTCACTGTGCTCTCTCGTGGTGGAGAGAGATGAAGTCCTCTGGTGTCTCTTGTTAAATGGACAACAGTCCTACAGAGCCAGGGCCTCACCCTGATTTCTTCATCTCACACTAATCACCTCATAATCCAAATACAAATAACTTCCAAGTGCAGTCTCACGGAGGGTAAGGACTTACATGACTCAGGGAGTCATTAAAGTACTAACCTTTTATTTTTATGAAATACATAGATTTTTTATTTTTGCTCATTCTTACAGATGAAATTTCCATCTAATCAATTCCTTTGATTTAAGTAGTATGACTACACTGTGTTTCTTTTTTTTAAGATTTTATTTACTTATTTGAGAGGTGGAATTACAGACAGAGAGAGGGAGAGACAGAGAGGAAGGTCTTCCATCCACTGGTTCACTCCCCAAATGACCACAATGGCCAGAGATGGGACCATCCGAAGCCAAGAGCCATGAGTTTCTTCCAGGTCTCCTACGTGGGTACAGGGCCCAAGCACTTTGACCATCTTCTACTGCTTTCTCAGGACTTAGCAGAGAACTAGATCATAAGAGGTGCCCATATGGGATGCCAGAACCACAGGTGGAGGCCCAACCTACTGCACCACAGCGCCAGCCACTCTGCTTCTTTTTGTATGTCAGCTTCAATCTTTTTTTGGAGCTAGGTATAGCATCAAAAAAACTGTTTGTATCAGCTTATAGTTTCTGAATATTTTCATCCTTCCATCAAAAGCTTGTTTGGTAGTATGTTTAGAGGACAGGCATTTAAATTCTGTAGCAATGTCTTCAGCAAATGTTAAGCCCACACTTGGATGGTGGGAAATGGATATAACTTTTTGCATAGTTTCAGGAAATGAAGGACTCATTTCTGAATAAATCCTACCAGGCACATAAGAGAAAGACATATGAATGATATCACAGCTGAAGAACAAAGACATCTTTTGTTCTCATAACCGTTGGAACATAGGCAAAAAGAAAATGCAATCATCAGATTACAGAAGTGCAAACGGGAAGACACCTACCGTTGGCCCTGTAATATTGAGTGTTCCTGGGGTACATTACTGAAAGCTTACATTAGGAAAGAAGGTTCATTAGCTTAAGACATTTTTGAGTCATGGTTGAAGCCATGCAAGTCACTTCATTAAGTTTCTCTCCACAAATATTTTTAGGCGGGTTTATTGTGTTTTCCAGACATAATGAGCCTATGGTGGTGATGGTAACACTGAGTCATGAGCACCACTCACTATTTAACTCACCAAAAGCACATATGAAAGTGCTCACCATGCAGGAGCATACACAGGCTCTCAACAATGCCTGTGGTTTTAAATCTTTTTTATTAGAAGTTGCTGCCTTTTCCTTAGGATCCAGTGCTGGCATTCTTACAGCTCCCAAGAAGCAAAAAAGAATGCAAACAAAATCATAAGATAAAGAAAATTTGGCACAATCTATAAAGGAGAATTTCACTCTCTGTTCCACCAATGGAAGCCATGTACAGCATTGTATTGATGCAAGTCTTGAACAAGCCAAGTTAAATATAGTTTTGCATTGAATATTTTAAAAATACTTAGAAGATCTCACCTCTGTACTCCATGTTTGTGAGACTCTGTGGCTGATCTCAGAATATTTACTAGTGATAATATTAAAATATTTCTTCATTGAAAGACAGAGAGGGAGAGATTGGTTAGACAAACAGAAAAATAGCTTAAATGTCCTGACAGGGTAAGCTCTAGAACTTTAAAACATGTGCTTGTTAATGACAATAGGTTTCACCGCAGAATTACCCTTGCCACAACTTAAGTACAATCGAGGTATGAAGCATTCCTCATGTAAATTCAGCTTCTTAGAACAATTGAATTAATTCAGAAGTCACACCATATTAATTTCATAATGACAATTTTAACACGCTATGTTACAGTTTAGAATATTTTCAAAGCAAACATTTGCCTCTCTACATTTATGTTCACATTGAAGGAATCGAATATATAGCCATTCTTAACTATGCTTTATTTTTTATTTCTCAGTGCCTAAGGGAAAACAGTAACACAAGCAGTGATTCATTCTTACCAGGACATGGACGGTCACCTGAGCAGTAGCACTTCTCTGTCTGATGGGGTCAGGGAGGGCGTCATTGTCCAAGTCTGTTACTCTCACAGCTATCTTGTATTGTGATTGCATTTCCCTGTCTAGGGAATCCAACAGTTTTATCATTCCTAACACAAGCATAAAGTGAGACATGGTAGGTCAGGATTAATAAATCTCCAACTTATATGAATTATAAACTGTATAAACTATGTTCATTATATACATTAAATAATCATTGCAATAACAAATGCAAATTAACTAATGCACATCACCTTTCTTTAGATAGTGATATCCCTAATATGACAGCAAAACCATGAAACATGTTAATTTGTACACTGTTTTGGTCACTTGTTACACATTTGTAGACCTCTGGAAGATTATGTAGTGCTTTCTGGAGTTCAGCATGGCAAAGATCAACACTTCACTGTTTTTCTTGAAGTAACCAAGGCATTTGGATTCAGCTGACAAACCCAGGAGAATATTACATACTTCAAGATCCAGTTGTGTCTGACTATGTCCCCATGCTCATGGTTTCTTTCTTTCTTTCTTTCTTTCTTTCTTTCTTTCTTTCTTTCTTTCTTTCTTTCTTTCTTTCTTTCGACAGGCAGAGTGGACAGTGAGAGAGAGAGAGACAGAGAGAAAGGTCTTCCTTTTCCATTGGTTCACCCCAACAGCCGCAGCGGCTGGCGCACCACGCTGATCTGAAGCCAGGAGCCAGGTGCTTCTCCTGGTCTCCCATGCGCGTGCAGGGTCCAAGGACTTGGGCTATCCTCCACTGCACTCCTGGGCCACAGCAGAGAGCTGGACAGGAAGAGGAGTGACCGGGACAGAATCCAGCGCCCTGACTGGGACTAGAACCTGGTGTGCCGGCGCTGCAGGCAGAGGATTAGCCTATTGAGCTGTGGCGCCGGCCGCTCATGGTTTCTAAGTACAACCACCCACAATGAGTATATGTGAGTTCCTTAATTATAGAGTGAATATCAGTGTTTTTACAGTACCTGTATCGGGTTCGATGTAAAATTTGGGAGGTGTTCCCAAATTACCTCCAACAATGGCATATTTTACATCGTTAAATGGCCAGTCCGCATCTGTAAATGTAATTTCCCCAACTAGTGTATCAACTGGACTATTTTCAAGTATGCTGAAGGTAAAGGCCAATGTGGTTCCAGTTGGATTCAGTTCATTTATGCGACTCACTCTTACGATGACTGTAATCATTGCTATGGAGAAACATGTACACAAAAAATGTAGCTGGATAGATCATAAAGCCCCTTCAGTAACTCTTACTTTTTCATTTTACTTTCTGAAACTTCACATTATATCTTTCATTCTGAGTGCATAAATTATACATATACATTTATGTTGGCAAGTCTTATTAAGTTACTACTTTTTAAGTCATACAATATTAAAGCTAATATTAGGAGTAAAATATTCTACAAAATGATTTTGAACATCTGTCCAGATAGCTGCTTTTCTAGCATAGTTAAACATAAATGCTTCTGTTCTGAACAAAGCATCAGAGTTTCTGAGAATAGATGTAGTGTTGACTAGTGGAAATAGGACTAAAGTACTTTACCATGACAATGTAAGAAGGCAACAATGAAGGAAATGCAATTTACTATGAGAATCTGAACATTAGAATCTTCTCTAGTATTAAATAAAGTAATTCCTTGATAAATCTTTTAAAAGCAAAAAGACTTCAGAAAAGCTAACCTTTGACATTGCCCCTTAAGTAACTACAAAATGCAGTACCAAACATTTCAACATAATTTTCCCACTGTAGTTCCAGTTTTTGTTTATACTTTCAGATTTTCAATAGCAGTACACAAAATAAGTTAATAAATAATAACATAGAATTTATTATACTCTATCACTGGAATATTTACAGGTATTGCACATCTAAAACTAATTTTTTAAAGAATTAGATATTTTATATCATGCAGCTATTTTGATTTAATGACTTCTTACTTGATAATACAGGATTTCCTTCATCAGACACTCTTACAAAGAGGGTGTATTTGAAGTGCATTCCTGCAAAAACAGCATTATCAAAATCTAGATGTGACGGTCCAATCTGCAGATGAAAAATAGTACATTGAAAATCTTGCTTTGCTTTGTTTGAGTTAAACATCTATTTTGTCATCTATATAAATTCAAAATGAAGACATGTGGGACCTATTTTGGTTAACAAATGAGTGAAAGCGATATTTTACAACAGTGTTGTCAATCATCAAACAGGAATATAACATAAGCCACCGTCACATTAATTTTTCTAGTAGCCACTTTTAAACAAGTATTTTTAAAAGTTAGACAATTATAGCAAAATATTTTATTTAATCAAACATATCCAAAATATTATCATTTCCACATATAATCAATATAAAAGTGAGATACTTACATTTGTTCATATTTACTCTGTGAAATCTGTTATTTCACAATTGTAACATATCTTAATTTGGATGTATATTTGTTGTTAATGGGCTATGTAGCTGGTGGCTTCCACAATGCATAGCAAAGTTTTATAACAAGTAGGCCATAAATTCACTGCCTGACTACATAATGGCAGTGTATAACATTCTATTGTAAAAAATACATTAATAGAAAGATCAGGATTTCATCTTTTGTGTGCATTCATTTTCAAGGATTAATTTGCCACAGGCTGTCTGTCCCCTCTTCCAGACACTTTGTAAATACAGCTGATCCATGACTTACTAAATTTTTTCAACTTTGTGTTGGTGTATGAAACCATACACACTTAATAGAGATGAACTTTGAATTTTGAATTTTGATCCTTTTGGGCTACCGAAAGTAGGGTTTCTTTCTCTCTCTCTCTCTCTCTCTCTCTCTCTCCCCCCCACCCCCACCCCCACCCATGTGGGCAGTGCTGCAGTTCAGTCAGCTCTGTGATCACAAAGAGGAGCTACAATGATCACTAGGTTAGATAGATTAAATGCATTTTCCATTTGTAATATTTTCAACTTAGGATTGATTTTTCTAGATATATCCCCTTGAAAATCGAGGAGCATCTGTAGTTACCATGAAGGGTATTTAAGATATGTAAAGAGAAGTTGTCATGAATTCATTGCATTTATTTTTCAAAATGAATGAAGTCTGGGTTAGTATCAGTGGGAATAGTGTTGTAGAAACCAGATTTCTATGCAAGTCTCAAAATCATGCAAAAACAAAACTCGAGGTTCACCCTGAGAGAGGTCAAAGCATCTCATGTTTTTGCTGTTTCACTTTATTCTCCAGGGAAGTATACGCAGCACAGGCGTGATGTTTGCAGGATTTTGAATAATGTTAAAGACAAGGGGCCATCTGAGAGTCTTCCCTTGAGAGCTGATGCATAATCACACAGTCCCTACAGTGGTCGTAGCCCAGACTGGGTCTGAGACCACCAAAGGGCACAGTGCAGAGCGTCTGAATGCATGCTGTGTCTCAGTTTCTCTAAGGCTCTCTCCGTGCCTACAGTCGCATGAACTGCTTTTCTCAACAAGCACTTCCTAGGGAGGACAGTCATATGCAGGAAGCAGGAGGTGAGTTGGTATAGACACGCAGGAGCATAACTTTATGCTCTGAGTTATTCTAGCATGTTCCATGAAGTACAGAAATTGGAGATTGTAAATGCATTAATCAAATTGGAGAAAAGCATTTCTTCATATATGAAGTGAAATGTAGACAGTTCGTAAGATACCTTTCAATCCTAAAGTCCAGTAGTCTACCTTCTATGTGGATAAAGAAAAGTGACATAAAGAACACCAGTGGTGGGGCTGGCATTGTGACAGAGCAGGGTAAGCCCCAGCCTGCAATTTCAGTGTCCCTTATAAGAGTGTGGGTTCAGTTTCCTGCTGCTCCACTTGTGATTCAGCTCCCTGCTAATGCACCTGGGAAAGCAGCGGAGGATGGCCCAAGTGCTTGGGCCTCTCCCCAAATTCCTGGCTCCTGACTGCAGCCTGGCCAAGCCTTGTCTGTTGTGGGCATGTGGATAGAAGATTCTCTCTCTCTCTCTCTCTCTCTCTCTCTCTCTCTTTCTTCTCTGTAACTCTGCCCCTCAAATATATGCATAAGTCTTAAAAAAAATCCCAATGGCATGGATAGTCTTCTTATTCTCCTATATAATCATTGTGCCTTTTCTCTTCTTATATTGTGATGACCTGAAGAAACTGCAACAAATTGAGAGTGAGAAGAATTACAACTACAATAAGAAAATAACCAAAGAGGCCAGTATTATGGTGCAGTTTTTTAAGCCACTGCTTGCATTACTGGCATCCCATATATTGGAGTGCTGGTTTGAGTATTGGCTGCTCCACTTCCCATCCAACTTCCTGCTGATGTGCCTGGGAAGGCAGTGGAGGATGACCCAGGGAGGTCTGCATGTTGCAGCCATCTGGGAAGTGAACCACTACAGGATGGAAGATTTTGTGTTTCTGTCTGTCTCCTGTGCTCACTCCCTCTTTCATGCATTCTCTCTCTCTCTCTCTCTCTCTCTCTCTCTCTCTCCTGTCACTCTGCCTTTCAAATAAATAAATCTGTATAAAAATAAAATAACCAGAGACAGGTTAAAACATAGAGAGAATTCTGTATCTGTGAGGGATGGTATTGTAGGTCATTATAGAAATGTCACTTGCAGATTGGCATCCTTAAATTTGAAAAAAAAATTAGCTGACTTCCCACTTCCCTCCATGCTACAAAACTAATTCCTCTGCATTTAGAAAAACTGAATTATGAAAGGGCACTTGCTAAAATATTTACGGGAAAGCATATTTTCCAAATATTTTAACATATTATATAAACCCATAAGGAAAACAAACAATATAAGAATGTTTATCCTCAACAGAGGAGATGCAAATATATCATATTTATTTACATAATGGTTGAATATATGAGATGTGCAACCTTGTTACCAGTCAGGCAGAAGCATACCAAGCTCTGTGAGTATCAGATAACATGACAAGGATATTGGAAGAGAGCAATGCTTATCGATTGCTATTGAGAGGAGAAACCAACACCTTGATACTATCTCAGGTAGCTGAACATTTGCATGCACTGTGACATGACAGTTCTTTTAGCTTAGATACACCTCAAATAAATTATGAAAAATTTAATTGAAAGATAAGTCTATTTTAGTGCAAAGTAATTTTGAAATTCATGCCCAATTTTGCCATAATACACATTTTTTTTCTATGAACTTGCTGAAGACTCCTTGTATAGATTTCACAGATCATGTTGTTTGTGGGTACCAAGAGAAACACACAAGTATGTTCATTACAATAATAGACATAATACACAAGAATCAAAAGCAAGTTCAAATCGCCATCAGTGGGAGAATGGGCACAGTCACTCAAGGGAATATTAAGGAATAGCATGCGTTATGATAAGGAGATAGACACTCACTATATGTAGATGTCTCTTAGAAACCTAAAGCAAATTAAGAGAAGAGTGCAGCAATGGTAGTACTTTGTCAAAGCTTAATAGCTAAGCAAACAAAGCGATATTGTCTAAGAGCATGTATACAGATGATAAAACTGTGAAATCCCCATGGCTGTGACAAATGCAAACTTCAGGATATTGGTGCCTGCAGGGGATCAGTGGAGGACTAGCAAGGACAGAATGTTCTAACTATGAAGTGAAGTGAGGTAGTCAGGGGTTTATTTTGTTGCTATGCTTCACAACTTGTGAAAGTGTTAGCTTTTTATGCTGCATGTGTCAAATATTATCTTACAAAATAACTTTAAATGAACTAAGCAATAAAAACATGTTTGGTGACTTTTCTGGTCAAGGCTCATGAAAGGGAATTAACTTAATAAAACAAAGATTAACAATACTGATTTAAAGAAATATTCATGTTTTATTAGTATATTAATAAGTTGAATGTACTGCATGTGAAATCATTTAGACATATTAAATAATCATTCTTTGTAAAATATTGAGATGATACGGCTGGGGCCAGTGCTATGAAGTAGTAGGCTAAACCTCCATCTGTGGCACTGGCCTCCCATATGGGTAGTGGTTCGTGTTCTGGCTGCTCCTCTTCCCATCCAGCTCTCTGCTTATGGCCTGGGAAAGCAGTGGAAGATGGACCACGTGCTTAGGCCCCTGCACCTGTGTGGGAAACCCAGAAGAAGCTCCTGGCTCCTGCCTTCAGATTGGCCCAACTCTGGCCATTTCAGCCACTTGGTGAGTGAACCAGTGGATGGAAGACCTTTCTCTCTGTCTCTGTCTCTGCCTCTCTCTCTCTCTCTCTGTGTGTGTGTGTGTGTAACTTTGCCTCTCAAATAAATAAATAAATCTTAAAAAATAAAACAGAAAAAAGTGATATGGCTATCACTAGCAGTGGTGAACTTTGCTCATGAATTAATTAAGAAAAATTTAAGTTAGCATCTAGTAGTACCCTGAACCTTTAACCATGATTTTGTCTTAAAACCCTTAGTACTTATTCTAAATCCTGGTTGTTAGTGATTGGTAAAACTCTTTCCCCACATATTACAACCCACATGTCAGTAAATGATTAGCAAAGACAAATGCATTTTATTTAAATTTTTCTTTAAAAAAGTACCTAAATTATGGCTTTTTGTGAGTTTGAAACTCAAGCATTGTTGGAAAGCCAAACACACGTTCTTTCTATGTTCTCCTAATAAATGTTTTATTCACTAAGTACTAAAATTATGTCAGCTGCTTTTCCTACCAACTGGCTTCTTTTCCCTGGCTGCTGCAGAACCAAAATGATCCTGCTGCTGTAATAACCTTTCTGAATGTAATCATCCATTGGGAAAAATACTATTGTTCTCATCCAATTACATAAAATTTGAGGAAAAAAAGAGGGGGGTCATATCACACACCACTGAGCTTAGTACAGGTTAGTATTACATAATTTCCCTGGAAAAGGGGAAAAAAATCCATCATAGGTTTCTCTGGTCTAATGGTTTTGCCTCTGAAATTTATGCAACTAGTTTTAGCTAAAATTACAGCAGGTCCTGTAAAATAGCGTTGTTTGCTTGTGTATTTTGTGTGCTTGTTTTATTTTTGTTAGATTTGTTTCAATAGGGAGAATCAACAAATGATATACATATAAGGGTTTTTTTTTTTTAAACATTTTGGTCTTTTAACAATATCTTCTAGTTGCAAAGAATTAGAAAAAATGAGACATTGACATTGAAGCATTTAGTAGTAATGTGACTAAAACCCGTCAATGCCTTACAAAATTGCTTCAAGATTTAATTTTAATCATTAAATTCAGGAATTAATTAATATATCTAAGCATTGCATATGCTTCAGAGACTGGTCTAACAACAGATTTTTCTTTGACTAATTAGTGCCATGATGGAAGAGACACAAAATGCTATGAGAAGCTGAGAAGCATCTGATCCAGAGAAGAAAGAGAAGCAATCAAGGGGTGATTTCCTAAAAGAAGTGCCTAACAAAGTTAGAAAAATTGTGCAAAAGTGTGTTGGTAATGGGAACTCCAAAGTGATGGGGAGTTTTCTAGCAGTATAAACAACAGGAGTGAAAGACAGAACTGAAAGATATCACAGTATTTTCAGATGGTACCTCAATTGCAGAGTGATGACAACACATGGTAAAGATATCAGTTTTTACAAAAGTCAGCTTGGGTGGAAGGCTAATTGCAGAACACTCAGTTTCAAAACAAGGTTCAAAAGAGGATTTGTTACCTATGCCCTACTCTTCAAGACCAGATGGGTTTCTTCTCAGCTTATTGGTCAAGGTGAGTAGGTTTTCTATCATGCTGTTGAACACATGCCTCATCTTTCAAAACAGGAAAATATAGTCTGACCTAGGTCGCAAAACTTACTGCAAATCAAGTATAGTTTTCCTGAATTGGTAAAATATTTGAGCTATTGCATATTCCACATTTATTCTGTTTATATACCTAGCCTGATGTTATTTATTATATTATTAAAGGTTATGGTGGTAACTTCAATACATTCCAAAGGAATAGGCAGTATTTTATCGTAGAACCATTTGTTCTAGGAAATTTATAACCTTCCTAGCTCAGCTCCCAAGATAAAAATTACATTCCAACATCCACCCCAAACCAAGATATGTTGTTGGCAATTTAAGGTTCAGTTGAAAATCCAGGAACAAGTTCTGCCATCAGCTATTTGAACTACTGTAGTTCATTAAGAAATTTATAAGAATAAAAATAAAATGTTTTTCTATCTAAGGTTAATCATAGGGCCACAATCAGAGAGAAAATTGAAAATACTTACTTTCAGCTCATTGTTTGTGAGGGTAAAGGTTTCATTTGAAAAAGTATCCGTAATCAAATGATAAGTGATATTGTTATTGGGTACAGTTCCATCCTTATCTGTACAAGCTAGAGAAACTAAGAGAGTTTCAACTGGGATGTTTTCAGGAAGCTCAATTCTGTAATGAATAAAATATGAGAAAAAAGTGTGGTGTCACATGTTCATCTAGATTTATGCAGATGATAATACTAATGTTAGAGATGTTTCAAATGTGCTCATATTTTTAATAACCACTTCTGCTAATAAGAAAATCATAGTGTTGGTAAAAAATTATATAAGATCAATCACTTGCATCCATGCTGAGGCCAAGAAAAATGAACTAATATATGTTGGATTAACAAACAACAAATATAGTAAGACACACATATTATCATTGAACAAAATGGCTATTTGACTTCAGATTCATAATTGTATATTTATAAACTTTAGATATCGATGTGATCTCCTGAAATTAATTAATGCATACATTTTCCTTTAGGTAGATAGTGTATCTTTGTCTCTATTTTAAAAATAAGGACATTCAGAAATACCGATGGAATATTGCATTGACTTAACAGTTAGCAGGGGCTGTTGGTCTCTGCTAATATTCATATGCCCATCCCTGTCTCCCAGTTTCCCTGCAGTTGGCTGGATGAGGTGTACTAGGACAAGGAGTCTAAGTGAGAAGACCACGTTTCAATTCTAATTAAGGGGATTAAAATTTGATTTTACATACTTTCTCTCCCCTTTTTCCATTTGGCTCAGGTCCAAAGGTCACAGCACAGCAAAGCCAGACAATTGAATCAACTAGAATTCTTGAGCCACAGCACAGGGCAGTACTCACCCCACAGCAGAAACCTACATTACTCTTTGCATCAGGCACAAAAAGAAAAGTGTGTCTTGGTTTCATTAATGATGTATATATTTTAGTTGTCTGTGTGTTTTCATAGCAATTAGTGGTATCTTTACTACCACCAAAAGTTAAAATTGTGGATTTTTTTTTTCTGTTTTAAAAGCATATGCCTAATGTTAATCATTTAAAATATCTTAGGGTTGAAAAACTATTGGAATAAAAAGTTGACTAATTTTTAGTATGAAGAATGTTCTGGAAACAAAAATGAGTAATATTCCTTCAAAAAAAAAATCTGTAGACCACTAGTTAAAATAGAAAGTGAAAACAAATTTCTATTGGGGTGGTTACAGAATTAGCTTTGGTTACTTTGACCTTTTAGTTTCTAGTAAAATGCTCTAGCAAAAAGTTTACAAACTGAAAGTTGATATTCAAAGAACATCAGAGCCATAGCATTGTTTTTATATGTGGATTTTACACTGTTTTATTTCTGCAAAATAAACAAATATATGCCTGCATTTGCGTTTACAAATATTATTTTAAGTGAGAGATGGGTTACCCAAGGGTAGACCAACAAAAATCTTGCATAACATGTAATAAAACACAGTTTCCATTATGAAAGAAGCATTCTGATTAAGCAAGAGCCTCCATCAATCAACTGTGGGGCTGTTAATTCTGCTTCAAGAGTAGATTTTAGTTCAATCTCACTAAACTCCTCAGATTTTTCAACATACAGGTTGAGGATCACAAATCTGAGATTCCCAAACCTGAAGTGCTACAAACTTTTTGACATCTCTGCAATGCCATTAAGTGCAACAAAACCCAGCCACCCTGTAAATTACCAGGCTGCGTATTTAAGGTGTATATGAAACATAATGAATTTCATCTTTAGACTTGGGCACAGCCCTCAAAATATTTCATTATGGATATACTAATATTACAGAATAATCCAAATTCAAAATATTTCTGACCCCAAACATTTCAGATAAGGGATACTCAATCTGTAATACATAATGATATGTTATACTATTGTCAGCTGTGAATATCCTCAATTGATTATTATTGATAAGTAACAATATATTAGTGATCAATGAATGATCACATGAAGTATGTCACTAGAATAACAAAGATGAATGTCTCACTACAATACTACCAGAGTTGGTTAAGACTTTCTGAGCATTCTAGGATCGTGTGGAGAATATTTCACTAAGAATCAGAAAATCTGGCCACTGCTTGTCAACTTTCTAAACTTTTCCAGTAAGTGAATTCACTAAGTGAATCCTTACTGATTTGATTTTCCATTTTTATAATGAAATAACATATCATACCAGAATCTTAAATTTATATGGAATTCTGTGCTTGCTTCAGCAGCACATATACTAAAATTGGAAATTTATATGTAATTGAAAAACCAGAGCAAAGAGGGTAATCTGCATGTGGTTTTATAGCTATCTTTAAATTAATGTAAGATATAAAACTAATTAAACCTTGCACTCTCTCTCATTTATTTTATGTATCTATACATACATACATACAAATACATGATTTTTAATGTAATTGTTTTGCTATTACAAAATCATCCTTTGAAACCCTTTCTACCTTTAATTTTAGACTTTTTAAAGAACAAATAAAGCAGGTCCACTTTTACCAAAGAAGAGAGAAGTTGCATATGGTTTGAAAACAAAGGAAGGAAAAACATGGAAGGCTCTGCTTTGTTCTACAGATGGTATAATGGCTGTTCATTCATTTCTCTCCCACTTTTCTCCATGCCAAAATCTGATGTCAAACAAGTGCTATCATAACTCACATGTAAATATCCTGCGAGCATTGAGGCCGATTGTCATTCACATCTTGTAAAATCACTGTGAGTGTCCCAGTTGTTGAATGCATTCGTTCATTATCATAAGCTCTAAAATACAACACCCAAGACTTTGGAGTGCTTACATCTTCATAATCCAAAGGGTAGGCAACTGTGACCACTTCTGAATCTAAAAAACAGGCAGATGCAAAATAGCTGAGCGTTCAGAAGCCAAGGAAGCTATGAATTAAACAGTGACATGAGTAAAACAGCTCTGCCTTTCAAATAAAATAAAAATACCATTTTTTTCAAATTAAAAATGAAGAAAATTAATTTTCTAAATACATTGCTCTGTTAACTTTGCAAAAGGTGTTGTAAAACAATCTGCTTACAACTTGGTTATCATTCTCTCATCATTGACTTAGTCTTGGGCCCAGGGACTCAAATACTTTTCTTTCAATAACATCTAATTGTCTACCAGAACATTCTCAGATTTCAGACATTCTGGATTGGTTTACTCAGGAACCTATTTCACCTTTTTAAATAGGTACCCACAAATTTCCTTTTATTTTAAGACTGTTTTCTTAGATGACACTTTCTTAGATGACACTTTCTAGTATTTTTTTTTTTTTTTTTTGGACAGGCAGAATTAGACAGTGAGAGAGAGACAGACAGAGAGAAAGGTCTTCCTTCCATTGGTTCATCCCCCAAATGACCGCTCCGGCCAGTGCGCTGCGCCAGTCCGAAGCCAGGAGCCAGGTGCTTCCTCCTGGTCTCCCATGCGTGTGCCTTTCCGGACCCACTGCCTTTCCAGGCCACAGCAGAGAGCTGGACTGGAAGAGGAGCAACCAGGACAGAACCAGCACCCTGAACGGGACTAGAACCCGGGGTGCTGGTGCCTCAGGCAGAGTATTAGCCTAGTGAGCCATGGTGCTGGCCTCTAGTATTTTTTTATGTTCCATTGATTAAAATGTTGACTCTTCTCTGCCTACCTTCTAGAGCTATCTCTTCTTTATTTTTCTCTTGATTTCTATCTTTAGTATAATTATTACATTTTTTAGGTAATCACAAACTTGTGTGGTTTTCTTTCCCTGGACAATTTGAGAGTATGTGGTTGACCAGATGCCCCATTTTCCCTTGCTACTTGTATATACATTTCCTAAAAGTAAGGGTATGTTCACATGCTCACCCTATGGGAGTTATCGAACTCAGGATATCAGCATCAATCCACCTAACTCTAAGATTGTTGATCAGAGCTCACTGATTGCCTGTCAAAAAAATAAAAAAATTAAGGCAGAGTGGACAGTGAGAGAGAGAGACAGAGAGAAAGGTCTTCCTTTTCCCATTGGTTCACCCTCCAATGGCCACCGCGGCTGGCGCGCTGCAGCTGGCGCACCACACTGATCCGATGGCAGAAGCCAGGTGCTTATCCTGGTCTCCCATGGGGTGCAGGGCCCAAGGACTTGGGCCATCCTCCACTGCCCTTCCGGGCCAGAGCAGAGAGCTGGCCTGGAAGAGGGGCAACCGGGACAGAATCCGGCGCCTCAACTGGGACTAGAACCCAGTGTCCCGACCGGGACTAGAACCCGGTGTGCCGGCACCGCAAGGCGGAGGATTAGCCTAGTGAGCTGCGGCGCCAGCTCTAAATGGTTTTTTAATAGCAAAAATCCAGTTCAGAATCACACATTGTTATGTGTCTTTAGTTTCCTTCCATTCAGGAAAGTTTTATGAGTTTTATTTCTGAGAGGTCCAGCACAGCGGCTCACTAGGCTAATCCTCCGCCTTGCAGCGCTGGCACACCAGGTTCTAGTCCTGGTCGGGGCGCCGGATTCTGTCCCGGTTGCCCCTCTTTCAGGCCAGCTCTCTGCTGTGGCCAGGGAGTGCAGTGGAGGATGGCCCAAGTGCTTGGGCCCTGCACCCCATGGGAGACCGGGAGAAGCACCTGGCTCCTGCCATCGGATCAGCACGGTGCGATGGCCACAGTGCGCCGGCCGCGGCAGCCATTGGAGGGTGAACCAACGGCAAAGGAAGACCTTTCTCTTTGTCTCTCTCTCTCACTGTCCACTCTGCCTGTCAAAAACAAAAAAAAAAAAACAAACAACAAAAAAAAAAACTATGTGTACATCCTATTCCTCAACAAGCATCAATTTTTTTATGTATTTTTATCCCTATGGACTCATGGTGCCCCATTCTAGTTAATGGTTATAGTCTATGAGGATTGTTGTTTATTTTGGTATTCAAAGTTTCCTAATATTAGCTAGAACCAATTCAAGCTGATTCTGTTTTCTTGACTTGGCCTCATCATTCTCTAAGCACGTTCATGCTTTCTATCTCATCTGATACTTTGACTGCTGCAGTCCCCAAAAGAGCCAGTTCTCTAAGGTCTCTTGTAGGGAAGATGGTATTTAGAAATCGATGTCCACGTTCAAGTGAGTTCGTTGCTGTTGTGATACCCTGTTCCTAAACTGTTATATTCTTTCAGTAGATAGACCCACAGAATGCATTAATGTTTTGTGCTTGTTTAACATCAACTACATAAATATTTATGTATATAACCATACATAGTTATGTATATGTGGAATGTATATATGTGGAAAATGGAATTAAAGATAAGTTTATTTGGTGCAAAAATGGTGTAATTCATGCATTTTTTCATAACATGCATTTTCATGAACTTTTTGAAGGTCTCTCATCAGCAGGCATTTCAAACATTTTTGCACCAACATATACTTATCTTTTGATTTCATTTTCCATGAATTTTTGAAAGTCCTCACACCCAGATATATATGTGCAAGTTGAAAAATAGAAATTCATTCTTATACCTCCCATGTGAATTCATCCCCATATGGTTCGTTCGAGTTTTCTCATTTTCTACATTTGCAATTCACATCTCTTACAGGAGAAAACAGCCTTCGTTTAATATAGCCATTTTAGCAGTGCCCCTGTCTGTGACTAATCTCTTAATTGTGCTGCCACCCTCTCACCTCACTCCAGCTTGGGCACCTTTATTCTCTGTCTCTGCTTAAGTTCTGACTTGCCTCACCAAGTCTCCCCTGTACAAGTTATCTTCCCTTCTTACTAAGATTCTGATTCCCAAGGTGGGATTATTTCTACTGATATGATAGACAGTATGTGCATAAGCTTGCTTCCTTCCTGAGTGAAAAAGTGCATCACCTCTTAGAAAAAAGGAGAAACTTTACTTTCTCCCATCTCTTAACGTATACCTCCGTTGTTAGCTTTATGAACCCCTCACTTCTGGTCATGGGGAAAGCGTGTAGGGTTAAAGGTGTCACAACCAAGTAGTCTGAATTCTGCTACAGGAGTCAGCTATGAGAGCTACAATTCCAACCTCCTCTTCAAGCATAATCAAGTTAGCTGGGGACCAGGACAGGAGAAACTCAAAGGGGTGATTATGCATGCAAAGTGCTTATAAGGATATAGAACAACCATTCAATTGATGCTAACTGGAATTCTGGTTTCCATGGGAAAATTCATTTTGCAGAAACAATTGCATGTGAAAATCCCAGAGAACACTGTTGAGGGTCCTATTTGGGTATGTGCAGGGGATTTCTGCAGACCATGTGCATACCTCTGAGAAGGGAGGAATGCTCATTGTTTACCTCCTAAAATCATGTTAAATATATCGCTCAACATTTGAAAGATGGTTTCATCCTATCAAAATGATGATCAGGCTTATTTTAAACTGGGAAAAGCATTTAATATTATGTTTTATAACCGTATTAGCCACAAAACACTATTATACCTTCATTTATGGAAAATTCTTTTGGGGTATCAATAAACTCATAATGTACCGAGTCTCCTATGTCTCTATCAGTCGCTGTCAATTTGACCAGCTCAGTTCCAACAGGCAGATTTTCATAAATATTTATTGGTGCATCTGGTATGTATCTGTAGGACAAAAGGGATTTTTTTAATCACTAGTATGGACAAATGTTTCTTTACATCTATGTCAGGCAGCTCATTTTTAAAATTCTGTATTATATATATATATATGCATTTTATATATATATTTTTTAAGTTTATGTACTAAGTTTATGTTTATATATTTTATATATAAGTTTATGTATTTTAAGTTTATGTAATTCTGTGTTAAATACTTAAAATATATTATATATTATATATATATATATGTAATATAAGTTTTAACCCCTGGCCTTCAAAACCAACAAACAATGCCCCCACCCCACCCAAAACCCCTTTCTTTGTGAGTTGTTATGTATATTAGAGAATGGTTATGTAAAGTAAAATAAACGTAAAATTTTTTTCTTATCTGCATCCTTTCTCTGGTAGTTCTATTGACTAGAAAATTATTCCAGACAACAAATTATTACAACTCTTCAGCAATCAACTTTTCATTTCCTATACATTTGGAACCGTTTCTGTTATCACTAAATACTACTGCCAAATTTCCTTCAATGTCTACATTGACTTACTAACATGAACATGTCAATCTGCATTTCCATAATGTTCTTTTATTAAAGACAAATAGCAGTAAAACAGGAAGCTTCGGATTCTTATTTCACCAATGAACATGATTCCCTTCCACAGTTTCAAGAGCAAACTATAAATGGAGTTGGAGTCCTGTGCATGTAAAAAGTGCGGTAATATGGAGCTCATAGAATTTTGCCCTCTAGATCACTTTGAATATTTTTTTAATTTTACAATGGAAATAAAAAAAAAAAACACCAATATGTGTCCTGCTATAAAAAAGTTCCAGTGGTCTAATCTTAGCATTTAAATATTTAGATTACTCATTGCTTACGTAAGGATGGGACTCTCATCATTAACATTCTGGATGTTTATAGTGATGGTGCCAGTACATGACTCCACAGACAGGTCTTCTCTGCTTCTCACAGCAATTACTAACTGGAAATGCTAAAATAAATAAGGGAGAACAGAATGTGTGTGGGTTTTATTTATTTAATTTTGAGTACTTAAAATATGCTGTCTCCCTTACACACACACACACACTCACAAACCAGTTTTAAAAGTAAAACTGAAAAGCACTTTAAAAAGTTTGAAGAATAGAATGTATACAGCCTTTCCCAAAAACATACCTTAAGGTCATCTGTCAGGAAGACCATCTTTTGTCATATACACTCATGCAGTTAAGTAGCAGGTTTGGATGCAATATATTTAAATCAACAGGTCAGATTTCAAATTGTTGAGACACCAGAATAAAAAGAGTAGCCTCAGCCTCATTGTTTAGAAGAACATTTGTGAAGCTAAACAGCCATCTTATTTTTAGAAAAAAAAAAATTGAAAAATCATGGATACTTTAGAAACTTAAGTATAAAATTTCATTAAAAGAGGTGATATTCTGATGCCCCAAATTATTAAGAAATGTGATCTAATGAAGTATTAACTACTAAGTTTGATGAAGCGAAAGAAGGGTTTTAATGTTTGTTTTCTTAAATTTAATTCTATAATAGTTCTATTATGTCTTTAAAAACTCTTCAAAATGCATTTAGTCCAATGAAAGTATATATTATTGAGCCTTCTATTTAAGAAATATTTTAAATAAGTGAGATGAAACTGAGGCTCACAAGATTATTTAATAAAATTTGGCATGACTAACCATACATTATCATTTAAATAATTTATTATTCAGGAAACAAAGTATAAACTGTTTATTAATAAAAAAAGTAGAAGAAAAACCTATAAAAACAGAAGCTGTATAAAGTTTTGGATAAAAAAGTAGGAGAAAAAGTAAGCATGTGATGTCTTAGAAGTCAGGGTAAGAGTACACAGTACTTAGCATCCTGAAGACACGTTTGAACCAACTAATCTATTGGTTTTTTTTATGTTTTATGTCTTAACAACCCACTTACAATTGGTAGCTAGAGTTCATGCTTTCATTCGAGCAATATTTCCTGAGTACTGACTTCTCAATTTACTGTTCATTAGAGGCAAGAACTAAATTAAAAATAACCTTACAGGGTCGGTGCCGCGGCTCAATAGGCTAATCCTCCGCCTGCGGTACAGGCACCTCAGGTTCTAGTCCCAGTTGCTCCTCTTCCAGTCCAGCTCTCTGCTATGGCCTGGGAGTGCAGTGGAGGATGGCCCAAGTGTTTGGGCCCTGCACCCGCATGAGAGACCAGGAGAAGCACCTGGCTCCTGGCTTCAGATCAGGGCGGTGCGCCGACTGTAGTGCACCACCAGCAGCGGCCATTGGTGGGTGAACCATCGGAAGGAAGACCTTTCTCTCTGTCTCTCTCACTGTCTACTCTGCCTGTAAACTTACTGGGGAGTTGCTACCTTCTATGCGTAAGACTGGCATGAAAACCAAAGGAGGGAGAAAGTTTATCAAGTGAAAGTTTGTGGTCAGACCAAGTTGGTGGACAGAATAAAATAATTCATGATAATCCTTCAAGAGTACCACCAATATAAAACTAGAGGAAGAATGGGGGAGAGGGATAGATACACACACACACACACACCCATACACACACGTGCGCACAAAGAGGGAGAGAGAGAAAGAGAATAAAGACGACAGTGCTCATATGGTCCAAGACTTCTCAATATAAAGCCAGCCGTGACCTAGGGACATCTGGCAAAGTTAAAAGATAAGCATCTTTGTAGGGACAATTTCCCAATGCTCTCCCAGTAGCTTCCCTACATGTATAACCCTTCTGAAGATGAGCTCACATGTCAGAAATACATAAATAAGGAAACAATCCACCTTGATTAGCTTTAGTCAATAAGGGGAGACAGTAAATCAGGATTTAATTCTCCAAATTAAATTAAATTTTAGCAAATTACAGAAGCAATCTATATTGAAAACTATCTCAAATGGGCTTGGGTGTGTGCCATAATACAAAGATGGTACAATAACAGCAAGTATATCAAACAACTCAGAAAATTAGTAATTAAAGAAAAACTATATGTTCATATGAACAGATGGAGAAAAAATTTATAAAAGCCAACATCAAATTCCTGACAGAAATTAACAAACTAGAAAGAAAAGAATTCTTTTTACTTAATAAAGATTATGTATCAAAGCCTTATACCAAATACCATTTTTGTCTGAAATATTTAAATAATATCTTTTAAAATCATGACAAGGATCCTTGCTAGTGCCATTTACATTAAATGTTGTTCTGAAATTACTCATCAAAAAATAAGGCATAGAACATAAATGAGCTGCTGTAACAATTAGAAAGAATCTGCTGTGATTTCTAAAGATATTTTATGAACATTAACACAGAAAATATAAGATCATTATATGAACTATTAAAACCAAATATAATAATTTATCAAAATTGCTATAGATATGGTTTTCTGTATAATCACAACTAGACTATGAATATTTACCAATAAAATTCAAGGTGCCTATGAATGTTACACATATGAAGAACTTATGCAAAAGGTCACTGAAGAACTTGCAGGCAGTTCTAAATAAGTGAATGAGTCTACCAAGGCTGTCGGTGACTAAGATTCCAATTCTTTCCAGAGTAACTCTCAAGTTCAATGCAATTAAAACAAAAGTGTTAAGGGGGCTTTTACTTTTATAAACTTAATTCTGAACCAGTGAAAGAATAAAGGAACAAAAAGAGTGGAAACCAGCGAAGTTGAATATGTGAGATGATCCCGCAATACCAGAATAGAAAGTAGTGTGACCAGTCAGATTACTTGAGTAATGAGTGATCAGTCAGATCCTGAATAATAGTTGTTGCATTTTATTATTATTGTTCTTTAACTTTCATAGGGTGAGAAAAATTCTGGCCAAAATATTTGCTCTTTAGAAGAGTCATGTTCTAGGTGACTGTTAATCCCACCATTGGAAACATTGAGAAATGTTTAAAGAAACTGGAAAGCATTTTAAATGTAAATGGTCCCATTTCCCAGAACAGTTTAGTAGAAAAAGTGATGTTATGGGTTTTTTTTTCCATCCCTTTATACTTCTATCTTGTTTCCAAATATCTGCAGATCTTAAATTGGTCAGGACTTTGGAGGGGGAAAAGAGAGACTAAATCTCCACAATCCAGTCAAATCAAAGAGAGAGGTATTTCTCCAGATAATTCAAGACTGTAAGCAGATAATCTTTTTAATTTATCTATAACATTGTCAAGTTCCATGCTCTTTAACATGGAAACAATGCTCCTCCAACCTTATGCATACCTGCTGAAACACACAAAAATTGAAATGATGTTGCAATAAAGTATAATTGAAAAGTAAAAGAAATCAAATAACCTTCAAAATTTATCTTCCACAAATTAATTTCTGCTTGACCTAGATAAATATGGGAATACAATACCTAAATTCAGTAAAGTTTTATCCAAATTTGGGTGTTTTTAAAATAACTTTTATTCTTGGGAATTCAAAGTGATTCATTGTTTCTGTGTTCAGTTCTATATTTTGTCTCACCTTAGGATTGGTTTCATAGTCCAGAAGAGGTTCCATCGTTTTAGAAATGACACCATTATGGGAATCCAAATTGAAGTAGGCAGTGGCATTAACTGAAGAATTTAATATTAAAAACTAAAAAAAAAAGAAAAATAAACACATATACACACAAACATGGTTAATACATTATTTGAAAAGCATGAATTTTGAACTGACAGATTTGATGCAATTTTTTGGCAAGACCTAAACCAAAATTAATTCTGTGAAGACAGTGCCCATAAAATAAAATCTGAATTTATGTTCAGTTCCAGACTTCAAAAACTATCTAAACATTCTTTCACATTTTTAGTTGTACTTTTTCCAATGGTTTCTGTACTTAAGTATTACAGCATTTTCAGTAAATAGCTGTCATTGGTTTCATAATTAGTTTACTTTTTAACGTTGCACTTACAGATTTTTCTAATATAAGAAAGCCATTCCCTCTTGTATACTCAGAAAGTGTATCTAAAGGAGGCACATGCACTGAATTATTTGGATGAAGCTATTTGATCTCATCACTGCATTGATTTTCTCTATGGGGCAAATAAAACACTGCATTGGCCAAAGACACTGTTTTCATGGCATCAGCATGTTCTTCTCCGTGTTATCACCCACGCTTATAACCGGGACCAGTTTCAAGATACACGGTAAAGATTTCGAGAAAGATTTTGTAAAGAAATTACACCCAGCTTCTGGCTCAAAGGAGAACAATAAAACCTGGGAGACATGATATCCAGTGCTATTTCTAAAAAGACATGACAACCATTTTGTTGAGCATGTTAACTGACTCTACGTGAACAACCAAAGTTGGCTTATGTTAGACTAAAATCCACTCAAGTGTACTTATGGGAAAAATTCCTTTCCTTTGTTTCTTCCCTTGCTATTATGGTTTTTGATGTGCTAAAACTGATCATTTTCCTAGTCTTTGTCTTGGTTCTCTTTCTTAATGATCTCTATAGTAAAATCTAGGTATTATAATAAATTTTAGTTACCAAGAAAATACATGTGAACACTTAATTTTAATTGATATTTATGGAGACATTCTCCTCCCCACACGTGGCCATATACTAGCCTAAACCTACACCCCAAACACACACACTTCCTCTACCTCTGCACAAACACTCACACAAACTAAGCTTCTGCACCTGCCAATCCAGGAGTCATATTTTCCTATATTGCCTCTGTTTCTAGCCTAAAATTCACATGAGCAAGATATATATATGTAAAATAATGTGATCAAATCTTCATTATAATTAGTTTACTAGAAAAATTATATATAGCCTAAATTCTCAGAGGGCTTCTCCCCACACCTTACTTCAATCGTGTTCCTGAGTGATGGGTATAAGCCAGCTCCTACAGAGCAACCATGACCAAATGGAAAAAGCCTTAGTTGCTCTAACGGGAATTTGACTGGATCAATAAATTTAAAGGAGAATATTTCAGTGTGTTAATATGATTTATAATATATTACATAACCAAGAAACTAAATTTTTTTCACAAATATAATTAAATTATAAGTCATATGTATACCATAAACGTTTCTAGAAAACACAGTGATGAATTATCTTAATCTTTTTTCTTACCCTCTCTTAAGCTATAACCATTTCACCATCTATTATGCATTTATTAATTCTTCATTCTTTATGAATAATTATAGCAGAAAGCAGAAATAATATGAAGCTCTAAAACATACTTTGTTTAAATTGTATATACAATAAGGAAAATATTCCCAATTATGACAAATAAAAGCAATAAACAATGAAAGGATATTTTATTAGTGTATGTAAATGTCATCAGATAAATGTCAAAAAATGTAAGTTCTAGTGTTTCAAGTGATTTCAGCTCCTTCTAGGTCCATTGCTTTCATTTAAAGGCATATCACTTTTATTCTAGGTTACTGTAATCAAAGGCTTAAATTCCTTCTCCCACTTTTAGAGGAACTATAAGATAGAAAGAACATTTTAAAAGCCTGCGAGATCATTTTCTGCTCATTAAAAACTGAGCATTCGGCTGGATTTTCTTTATCAAATCTGGAGAAAAATAGATTGGTGGTAATCAAAACAACTTACTTCTACTTCTTGTTCTAGATCGGGGTCTCTTGAAAGGATCATATATATAGGAGCAGATGCTGGAGTGTTTTCAGGAACAGACACTGAAACACCTGCACAACCACATAAGTCATGAACAGTAGTTTACATTCAAACATTCTTCTGCTACCTCTTGCTTCTTATTACACTAAGTATTTCCCCTTAAAGCAGATTTCTTAATGTACTGCTTCCCAGAACAAATGAGTAATCTACAGATATTTATTCCCATTAACATCCATATTAAGAGTCAACATAACTCAGCTTCATATGTCTAAATTGGGATTTGGGGCTAGTGTGCGGAGTTGCCGTGTAACTGCTCAGTGTCAAGTGCAAAGTTCATGATCACTAAGATAGGATCTCAAGTTTGATTCCTTGTTGGAATGTTGAAGTGTTTTATCCCTTTTCACATTTATACACACACACACACACACAAAAAAAAAAAAAAAAACAGAGCACAGGCTGTGAAGTCAGGAAGAAACATGGTGTTCTATTTTTAATAGAAAATGATATTTTTCTACCTCTCTTTTCTCCCCAGGAGCACAATCCACATGATACATGAGAAGGGCATCCTGATCCTGCTGTGGCCTCAGCCACTCATGTTGGCTCAGCCAAGTCTGTAGTGCAAGGCAGGTCAGAGTGACCTCCTTCGGATCCATGTGTGCCTTTTAAAGCTCACTATAATCAGGGGAGACCCAAGGGAAGGACAGTGAACATCAGCTACAAGTGATTCCAAGATAAGGCCTTCTCAAACACCAGTGCTGCAAGATGGTTCATTGCTACGGCTCACCTAGGGGACTCTTCTTGTTCATCCTCAAAGAACAAGTCCCTTTATTATGAATCCCCCTTTCAGATAGATTTATATTATTATGCACATGAGAAGGCACATTTTTGGTTCAAAGGAAGAAGCACAACACATATGTGTGTGTTGGAACTTTTACATTTCCAAAAATGTGATGATGGAGAAGAGATGAGGTGGGTGGTGAGAGATGCACAGAAGAGATGCAGTGGACAGCATCTGGTGGAGAAAGCGACTAATTTATTGGCTTTTGCTTTGTTCCATGTGCCTTGAACTCGGTTTTCTTCTTGTCTTGCTGTTAGTTGTGTGGTTCCTCCAAATAGACAGAGAAACAGGATGAGGAGCAAACAGAAAAGGTACAAGAAGTAGAGACGGTTTTAAAATGACAGACAAGTAAGGTGAAAAGCGAACAGACAAAAGAGCACACACTCAAACTGGAAGAGCAGACCTAGTCATTGGGATCCAGATGGCCCAAGCAAAATTAAAACAGACAAATGATGCTCTTGGAAATCCCGTTATGTGTCAGGTCTCAAGTACATTCAAATATTTGTACAATTAAGTTTGCCAATGGTCATCATAGAAAGCAAAAACATGGGGCCCGCATTGTGGCATGGAGAGTAAAGCCGCTGCCCACAATTATGGCATCCAGTATGGGCGCCGGTTCGAGTCCCGGCTGTTCCACTTCCGATGCAGCTCTCTGCTATGGCCTGGGAAAGCAGTGGAAGATGGCTCAAGTGCTTGGGCCCCTGCACTTGCGTGGGAGACCTGGAAGAAGCTCCTGGCTCCTGGCTTCAGATCGGCACAGCTCAGGCCGTCGCAGCCATCTGGGGAGTGAACCAGAAGATAGAAGACCTCTCTCCCTCTCTCTCTCTCTCTCTCCCTCCCTCTCTCTCTCTCTCTAATACTGTGATTCCTACAGCACAAGAACAGAGCATCATTTCATACCAAAGGCACACTAATCCATGTAAATCTGCTAGGAATAGTTTCTTTTATGAGTAGAGTAAATGTGCATAAAATGTGATCCCCAAATTTTAATTTACACCAAACTTTTCAGGAATATATCTATTTTAATCATATTGAAATCAAGCTCTACTATAATTTCAATAGTTGAAAGCCTGCTATAAGCAAGCACTCTGAGCAAGAACATTATTAGAGTAACTACATAATAGCGATTCTATTCATGAAGCTGAATTTTATGGCTAAACCTATAGATTTAAGGAACATTAAAAACTAATCCCAAACGTGTTTAATAATAATTTTGGCAAAGGGACAGAAATTTAGTTTAGCAGTTAAGACACCCAGCTCCCAAATCAGAATACCTGGGTTCAAATTCCAGCTCCTGCTTCTTATATTCCAGTTAGGAAAAATCCTGGGGATCAGTGGTGATGGCGCAAGTAATTGGGCTCCTGCCAATGGAGGCCTGGATTGAATTCCCAGCTCCAGGCTTTGGCCTCAGCCTAACTGCTACGGATATTTGGTAAGTGAACCAGCAAATAGAAACTCTCCATCTGTCTGTTTCTGTCTCTCTTTCTGTTTCTCTGCTACAAAATAAAGAGAAATTTTTAAATGTTTGCAACGAGTGATTATTTTAACTATACAAAAAATAATGATTATATATAAAATGGTGTACATGTGTGTAATTACAAATGCCACATTATCATGTACATAAAATCAGGGAAACTTTTGTGTTTACAGTTTATAGAATGTAAAACTCATCCATATTGTTTTGAAAATTCATTTTTAATGGCTAGATAGCAATTCATCAAATATATATACCATCTTTTGAACAATATCCTACTATTATATATTTTAAAATTATTTCAGAAATTTACTGTTACAAAATTTGCATGGAAATAGTTTAAAAATAAATTTATTTTGCTTCAAAAAATCTTTGAAATCCATGCATAATTTTTTCATAATATGGATTTTCTATGAATTTTATGTATTTCTGTAAAGATGAACACTAAGAAAAAGAAATACTGAATAAAAGATATAAATATACATTTAATATATAAACATGAACTATTTATAATTTTATGAGATTTTAATTGTGAAATGTAATTTTATAATTTTTACATTTTATAATATAGATTTTTTTACATACTCATAGATGTTTACCAAAATAGTATTGTTGGTGGTTATTAAAAATTCTTACCTTACAAAAGTGTTAATTTCCTTATACCCAGAACAACACTGCTTTTTCTTCCCCATAGTTGTTATCTTGGTTAATTTAGTAGGTAAAACTTACATTTTATTGTTTACATTTTCATATATTTGATAATTTGTGAGGCTGTTAGTTCATATTATAAATAAACTTAAAACATTTAGATTATTATTTATATTCCCTGTCTACTACACACATAATTATAACTTGAATTTCAATTTGCATTGTTTTGATTCTGATGGTTATATATTTTTAGCATGTTCTATCTTCCATTTTACTCAGTTATCTTACTTATTTCTCTTTTATACAACTCCAAAAGAGTGAACTTAATTAAAGTTCATGTCCTATTTTTAAATTTTGTTTAACATTGTTTAATTAATTTTTTAGAAAGACTTATTTATTTATTGACAGGAAGAGTTACGAGGAGTGGGGAGAGGCAGAGAAAGAGAGAGATCTTCCACCTGCTGGTTCAATGACCCGGGGCTGGGTCAGGTCAAGGCCAGGAGCCAGGAGCTTCTTCCCTGTCTCTCACATGGGTGCAGGTACCCAAGGATTAGGATCATCTTCCACTGCTTTCCCAGGCACATTAGTAGAGAGCTGGATTGGAAGTGAAGCAGCCAAGACTTGAACTGGAGCCCATATGGAAGCTAGCTCTGTAGGCTGTGTGATAACCCACTGCACCACAGCGCCAGCATGTTTCATGGATCTTAACAATCAAATGGATTTGTAATATACCTGCTCCAGTCGAAAAACTTGAATCACAGGAAATAGGTTCATCCACGTTCTCCACAGAAACTGTGAACACATAGGTGCTGGAGTGATTCCCATTATCTCTGGCCTCAACTTCCAAAGGGTAGACTTTGGAATTATTTGGCTTGTCAAGATTCAAAGGCTTAAGAAGAGTAATAATGCCTGTAACTAAGAAAAAGAAATAAAATGACAATCTACCAAACAAATTATTACACCTATGTTGATTTATTTATATTATGATGTGTTAATTCATTTAATGATATCTTTACTTCATGCTTGAGAAAAATGATGTTAACCAGTTTTATATATATTGGAAATATTTCTTTACGAGTTCTGATTGCTTTTTGCTCACATTGTAAAATATAATTAGGGATGGGCATTGGGTCTAGTGATCAAATACAGCTTAGGATCCCCATGTTCCACAATAGAGTTCCTGGATTCGATTCCTGGCTCTTCATTGCAGAATTCTGCTAATGCATACCCTAGGAGGCAGTAGTAATGGCTCAAGTGATTGGGAGATCAGGATAGTGTTCCCAGCTCCCAGCTTTGTATCCCTGCCCAACACACCCCCAGTCATTGTGAGCATTTGGGAGTGAACCAGCAAATGGAGTTCTCCCACTCTGTTCGTCTCCCTTGGTGTTTCTCTGCCTCTCAAATAAGTTGAAAATTTTAAAAAATAAAAAGAATTCAACATTAAAAATGGTTTCATCATATTTTCCTCCAAGTCTCTAAATGATCATTCATTGATTTTTCAAACAGACAGTAGCATGCCTACTTAAAAAGCATTAAATATTATATTTTATTACAATATAAAGTAATGATAGGGAGTTATTAATAGCCAAGTTATATTAAAATGCTTAATCATTCATTGCCTCTACCTTCCAAATTCACTCAGTCTTACTGAATACAAAGATGAGAAATGAGCTCAAGGATCAAACCTAGAAAAATTTCTGCAAAAACAGAAATAATTATTCACCCCTGCTGCCACTACTTGATAGCCCTCCCAGATTTTGCCAATTTTTGCTCTGCGTTCATCTACTTTACCTTGAATGTCTTCATAATTCCCAAGTTTTTGTTTCTCTTAAATTGCCCTTTGCTGGTATGTTTTTATTTTGAAGATTTACTTATTAATTAATTTAAAAGAGTCAGAGAGAGATAGAGAGGGAGACACAGGGTGAGAGATCCTCCACCCACTGATTCATTCCCTAAATGGCCGCAACTCTGGACAGAGCCAGAAACTAGGAGTGTGGCACTCCATCCGGGCTTCCCACGTGAACACAGGGGCTCAAACACTCAGGCCATCATCTGTTCCCTTCCCAGGAGCATTAGCGGGGGGCAAATCAGAAGCTGGGCAGCCAGGATGCAAACCTTCATTCACAACAGGATGCTGGTGTCTCAGGTTGTATCTCAACGCCTGCAGCCATGTTCCTTCTTAATGTGTTTTTTCCAGTTGATATTTGTATTTTAAGGCTGATGTATACAAAGCCAACTACTCCCAGAACTCCAATAAATCATCTCAAATACTGAATGATCTGTCTGATGGCTTTGTGGTATGTGGGAGTTTTCCTGGATATTTTGATTTTAGATATTTGAGTGTGAATAGACATCTGTCTGTGTAGACAGGATTACTGTTTTTGAAATATTTCTCTCTAATGTTTTTTTTTTTTTTTATCAGCCAGGGTTCAACCAGAGAAACAATGGGGTTGGTTAAATAGTCTCCACGTTTGATGCTGGAGCTTGAAGTTTACAAGGCACAAAGCCAGAAAGAGAAGACACTAAGCCAAACTGTGTTTCCCAGAGTCTGATTTCCTGGCTGTTTCTGGTTTGGGTGGGCCACAAGGGAGATTGTTGGCTGACCTGGAGGGTGAAAAGCGAACAGAAGCCAATTTGTTGCCTTTTTGCTGATCCACTCTACAACCACTGACATAGACTAGCTGCAGTAGACCTCAACTCATCTTCTCTCAGCTTCTTCATCCATCTCCTAGAACAGGAGTAAGTACTCAGGCCTGGGGGGAAAGACTGTATTTCTGCAGGACGCTTGCTCCACCACCATCACTGGCTAGGGGGCCAGTGCCGTGGCTCACTTGGTTAATCCTCCGCCTGCAGTGCCAGCATCGCATATGGGAACCAGTTCTCGTCCCGGTTGCTCCTCTTCCAGTCCAGCTCTCTGCTGTGGGCCGGGAAGGCAGTGGAGGATGGCCCAAGTGCTTGGGCCCTTCACCCACATGGGAGACCAGGAGGAAGCACCTGGCTCCTGGCTTCGGAATGGCTCGGCTCCGGCCATTTGGGGAGTGAACCAACGGAGGGAGGACCTTTCGCTCTGTCTCTGTCTCTCACTGTCTATAACTCTACCCATCAAATTAGAAAAAAAAGAAAAAGAACTAGCTGGGGTCTCAGTTTGTCCTTGTGGGGTCCAGCATATATTTGTGAGTTCCATTTGGCCTTTAAGCTCTCCAACTTCATACCCATCTTCTCTTCTTTCTGACATCCTGCTTTGTGGACTTCAAATTCCAGCCTTCGATATGGAGGCAACACCTTACAGAAACTACTTAACCGGTTCTGGTTAGTTCTGCTTCAATATATCTATAACCACACATCCAAAATCAGATTATTCAGTAAAAGGCTTAGGCTATCCACAGGTGAAATTGCAGAGATCGATTATAACGTCTCTGCAGTGTAATTTACAATGCTTTCACGAAACATTTCTATGATTGTGAGCAAAACATGATGGCCAGTAATAAAAGCAAGGCAGTAGATCACTCTATTTCACAAGAATGTCTAGGAAAATAGAAACTATTAAATAACACATGTTTTTAGTATGCTTCTTTCTCCATATTTAATTTTTAAAGGGTAGTTTTGCCAATCTAAGCTTTATTTTCTTTTACTTGAAGACTGGTGGTGTTTGGGGGAGGGGTGGGCAAAGGAGAGAGAAAGAGATAGAGAGGGAGGGAGAGAGAGAGAGAGAGAGAGAAGAAGAAGCCCTCATCCATTAACTAAAGAGAGAGAGCTCTCATCCACTAACTAGTTCATTTCCCAGGCAGGACTAGACCAGGCCAACTGTGGGAGCCAAGAACTCAACACAGGTCTCTGACTTCAGTGGCAGGGACCCAACCACCTGCTGCCTACTGGAGTTTGCATTGACAGGAAGCTAAGTCAGCAGCCAGAGCCAGGACTGAATCCAGGTGTCCCAATATGGAGTGCTAGGGCAAACACTCACCCTACCAGCCTAGGTTTTAAAGAAAGTACAGCTGTTAGATAGAAAATGCTTTAAAAAAAAAAAAGAGTAGGCTAGAAGTAGTTATCTAGAACTTACCAGGGTCCAAACGAAACACTTCTTGCTGAGTTTTAAAGGAATATGTGATGCTGCTGTCTTCATCTCTATCTGTCGCTTTTACTCTTGCTATAATTTCTCCAACAGGCATCTTCTCAGTCACATTAATCAGATTCAAAGGAAATGGCCTGACGAAAATAAATAGAAATGAAAATGTTGAACACAAAAATTTGCAAATACCTCTACATGCAGTTACCAAAGACATAATAACCTGCAAATTATTTTCTGGATTTGTGATGATACCCCCTTCCTTTTGTAGAGAATTTTGAGTTCCAAAGCGATTCAAATGGAGAAATGCACTTGTGGTACAAAGTTACTTAATGTTTTTCATAAGCATCAATTTGTAACCATAGAATCTCTGGGATCTGGACACACATCAGAGACATCATGACCTCAGAAATAAAAAATAAAGCCGGCATCGCGGCTCACTAGGCTAATCCTCTGCCTGCGGCACCGGCACACCTGGTTCTAGACCCGGTCGGGGCGCCGGATTCTGTCCCGGTTGCCCCTCTTCCAGGCCAGCTCTCTGCTGTGGCCAGGGAGTGCAGTGGAAGATGGCCCAAGTGCTTGGGCCCTGCACCCCATGGGAGACCAGGAGAAGCACCTGGCTCCTGGCTTCAGATCAGCACAGTGCGCTGGCCGCAGAGTGCTGGCCGCAGCGGCCATTGGAGGGTGAACCAACGCTAAAGGAAGACCTTTCTCCCTGTCTCTCTCTCACTGTCCACTCTGCCTGTCCAAAAAAAAGAAGAAAAAATTAAAAGCAGAATGGAATAATGCACCTCTATTATTCCAGATAACCAGTGTATGGAACAGTAGGCAACTGAACATAAGGGACTAAACATATTTATTTTCATCTTGTTATCTGGCATGACGAAATACTATCCAGTGCCATAACGTATTACACTAAGCTATGAAGACACTTCTTGCAAATCTATTGCTCACCTGTCACAGGTTAAGGTCCCTGATCAATAGCCACAACGTTTCTGAAAAAAATTTATTTCTTATTCAGTCTTCCATCTAGGCATCAAGCATGTATGAATAACCCGCCAGATGCCACTGTAGTTTATACACAGAGGACTTCACCTTAGCTCCTGCTGCAGGTTTTCCACTACTAGTGATGAACTGTAATGCTATATAGTAGAAGTCTTAAACTTTGCCACAGCTATGCAGAAGAGGAAAGGCTGATTCTGGGGATGCGAGAGAGCTTCAAGGAAGACCTCAAAGAATGTAAAACCAAAGGAAAAGGGCCCCAAGTGGGCGACAACATACCTAGGAGCAGCATTCCTGATTATCACACTCCCATATGCTTTCTCCTCTATAGTGCAAGATAATGTAACTCCTAATATTTACATTCTAGACTACTGTACATCATTTCCTTCTCTGTTTTGCTCTTTGTTATTGAGCATGCAATGTTTCTCAAAAAATGAAAAGGCATTTAGGTACAATGTTTTGCTATTTTTATATTCCTTGCAATATCCAATATTAAATTCTACTAACTATATAAAAGCAATATTGAAGGAAGGCATGAAGGCAACATAAAATTGATCAAAGGTTGATGCAAAACAAATAAAATAAAACCTAACAAATCCTGATGGCCCCTCTACTGCAAAGATAGGTGAATGGGAGCTGCAACTTTCCCCACACATATGGCATAAACTAAGGTCCAAATTTGCTTAAACTGTTCTGATAACATAACTAATAGTGAATACAAGGACTCGAGCAATGAATTACCTCCCTCAATCATCTGTAAAGATATAACTTGGTGACCCAAGAAAAGTAACTTAAACACTACCATTTCTTTTTACTTCCATCCATGTAAGAAGTATGTGATCCCTCTTAGATTACAGTAGCATATTTGATTCCTAAATGAATTCATCATCTGCAAACATTTTTGGATGTTACAATTATACATCAAGGGTAGGAAAATGAAATACTGACATATTTCAAGCTAAGTCTTAAGGTTTGCTTTTCTCTTTAAAGTTAATGTTGTTATTAAAAAGCAATAGGGCAGCTTTGGAAAAGAAAGCAAAAGATTTTTTTTTAAAAGACACACAGCAAAAGCTTTCTGCATATTGCAATGTTGGTCACTTTTAAATTTGCTTTCCAATATTTTCTCATACTTTCTAGTAGCATATGCATTAATTATGGGTATAGTTAGGAATTTCTACAGAAAATCATAAAATAGTTTCTATGTGGCTATGTCATCTTTATTATTATTATTTACAACACATGTGAAAAGTTGACTTTGCCTATTCTCCTATGGCTGCACTTTGAAGTAAACATACTTACTCAAATTGAGGTTTCTCATCATTTATGTTTCGAACCCTGATAATTAGAGTTCCTTGACAAAACAGACCTTTTGTATCTGTTGCTCTCAGTGCAAGCTGGAAAACCTGAAAAGGAGTTTTTAAAGACTTTACAACATCCTTGCATATACTATTTGTAAGATATATATATAATCCATATATATTAAACTTCATATATATGTACATACATATTTTTACAATATGTTTCTTACAGCTTTTTTCTTCTAGGTACTTAAGAGAAATATATGTGCCTTTTTCCCTAGCTAGATTAGTTGTAAATTTCAAACTAGCTTCATTTTGCATGCCATTAAATTTCACTAAAAGATCTGGGTAACTTGGCCTTATGCCTAAGTATAGATGGAATTGAATAAAATAATTGAGCAAATTCCAGATTCAGTCATAACTCCAAAGTACAATGTAATGATACAACTCACAAGGCAGACTGTTTGATGCTAACCCCTAGAAACATGACCATGAACTCCTCTTGGGATAAGGAAAATAGTGTATAAATTTCTGAAGTGCTGAGTGTGTCATGAGATCTCAGATATTTCCCTTGTCAGCCTGTCACAGAGCTCACTCATTAGACATCATTTATCCAAATCAGCAAGTCTATTTTTGAAAACAAAAGCCACTGGGGCAGTAATATATCCCCTATTAACCTATTTGGTGCAAATCTTCGGCAAACTCCTACAATGTCCAGGACTCAATGACTGCACCAAACTTCAGTCACTTGTATGGGTAGCAACATGTCAGATGTCATAAAATGAATTGATTAGTATGTAGTGGAAAGCTGGAGAGGTCTCCAAGGACATAGTGGAAGTTTGGTTGAACGTATGAGTCCAGGCTACAAGGGAGGCTGAGGCGGGGGTGGTCAGAGGTGTGGAGTTGAACTGTTTAAATACCTGGCTCAGAGGCATAACCTCCATTTCTTTTCCATCTAAACTTAATCTCATACTGTAGTTCTAACACTCAGATTGTTTAAAAGATATGTATCATTGGACTTTATCCCATCCTCTAACACTCAACATATCCAAGCTGAAATTTAAATAGAATTCATTGGCTTTCATCCACCATTTATATCCTTTGAGAGTAGAAAGTTGAGATCTTCTTTAACTATTAAATCTTCTTCTTTCTAAATATCTACTCAGCAGTAACTTTTCTATTTCTACTTTCATTTACCTTTAGTTTCTATTTTTAAGCCACCTTATACAAATAATACATGAAGAGGAATTCTGAAAAAAATAATAATATGAATAATAATAACTTTTCATTTATTTCTCAACCTTCACATCTCATATCTGTATGGACCAACCATTTCAATATCCATGTAGTTGGTTTCTTTCCAATTAGTTGTTGTGCTTACACATCCTTAATTTTCCACTCAGAAAATCATCACCAAAGAGTTCTTGTTAATTTATGTTTCTTATAAGAATAAAAGAAATTGTTCCCCTTTCCTACTATGTTAGTTTCAGATTAATCCATTAGGTTCATACCTGATTTTACCTTGGCCTATAGGAGTGTTTTAACATTCTAAATGGGAGTCAACACAAATGTTCTAACAATTTCAATATGAAAACCTGACTTTTAAGTTTTTTCTATCTCTTTAATATACAGCTGTATTTTAAAATAAATGATTTGGTGTTCACAGGCTCCAAACTCAGAAAATTGGGAAATGTTTAAGGAGCTGGAAATGCCAATTATCCTGATTTGCTTATTAAACATTGTGTAAATGTATAAAATATAAGTATGTAAAATTACTATGCATCAAGTAAGAATGCACTTTTAAAATTTAATGATTTGCTAATTTTGTTTCTCCTAATCAAAAGACATTACAATTTTTTCCCCTTAAAGTCCTTACAGCAGATCTAAAAGATAAGACGTGATTCTTTGAGTAACCACAAAGCTCAGATTTATTTAGGCTTTCGTTTACTGTAAAAGTCCTGACAATCACACAAAATACCACTCTTCTTTATAATCATTATGTGTTTTATTTTTCATTAAGAGTTCAAAATTCTCACTTTCCTTCCCTCTATGTGGAAAATGATCAACATTAATTACATGAAATCCAGCATCGAAGTCCAAGGAATCTTCACCATTCACACTGACAACACCACTTACAGGGTCCACGCCAAAACAGTTGGCTCCTCTCTTTGGTCCGGAGAGTTGTGTCTCAATGGTGTACTAGAAAAATAACTTACGCATTACACATCCCAAAATAAATGAGAAGGTGGGAAGGTTATTAAGATACAATAACAGAGCAAACATGTAGAAAGTTCCCTATTTTACACTGATTAATTTCAGTTTTATAACCTAACAAGCATTACAATCACTGACATAGTCAAAATGCAGAGAAAAACATACAGTTGGGGTGGTGTTGTGATATAGTGGGTTAAGTAACTGCCTTCATGCCATTGTCCCACATCAGAATGCCATTTCTGATCCAACTCCCTATTAATGAGTCTGGAAAAGCAGCAGAGATGGCCAAAGTACCTAGGCCCTGCCACACAAGTGGGAAACCCAGACAGAGTTATAGGCTCCTGGGTTTGGCCTTGTTGAGCCTCAGCTACTGCAGGCATTTGGAGAGTGAGCCAGCAGATGGAAGATCTCTCTGTGCGTGTGTGTGTGTATGTGTGTATATCATTCTGACTTTCAAATAAAATATTAACAAAAATATTGTTGTTTAGCCAATTAGCACAAAGATTTGCCAAATAGTCATACAGTTAAAACACAATTTATGATTTATCTTATATTCTTGATTCCATTTTTTATTTATTTGTACTACCTATGTTGAGGCAAAAGTACATCAATTTATTCTTCAAAGTATCTGAAGAAAATTTAATTTAATGAAATAATAAAATTTCATTAAAGGAAGGGCCAATCCTTCTGTGTATTTTGTATTCATCTGATATGTGTCATAGCCTGTAATGATGTCACTGGGTCTCAAAACACTAAATTCTAAACAAGCACCTGTTCGGTCCCTACCCTGTTCCTACAGATGACAGAACTGGTAATCACTATGTTCAACTTGAACCAAGGGCCCTTTTTCTTCCTCTAATGAAAAGACATCATCTAGTGGGGAAGTTCTCATGTTTCTCAACAATTTTGTATTGGCTGGTCTGCAACAAAATTATTTTTGGAGCTTTCCACAGGGATGTTGAGGTTTTGACTGACAATAGGAGATGTATTACTGAAGGTTAAAGAAAGGAGAAAAAAAGCCTCCTCTGAAAATTGTGAAAATCAAGGGCATGAGGGATGAAGTGACTTCCCCAGTATCATGTCTCTACTTAGTGGCTCAGCCATGACTTAGCCCAAGTCACCCGAGACCTCCTTGGCCATTTGGTGCTTATTACTTCATTCCATGAGTTACTAAATTAGAAGTAGTAAACTCTTTCAATACATGTGTTAAAAGCCAGCTGCAGAGCACTCCGGCTAATTTTCATAGTCCAGGGTACCGCAGAATCCTCCAGGATAGAACTTTATATGTTCCTTTTTATTTTGCCAAATCTCTAAGAGACTTTACAACCATGAATCAATTATGAGAAAAGTAGGGCTCTTAGAGTTAGAGACTTAGTAATTAGGGTACTGAAACATCAAAAAATACATAATCACATTCACATGTGTCATGGAACTAGCTAGAGGAAAGAGGTCTGATGAGAGCCCCAAGGACAAAGCCTCAGTTTTTTTCTCACCATCGATGTCTTCCTCCTGGTCCCAATCTCCAGAGGAAAGCACTGTGTTAGCTTACTGCACACCTAAAAATTGCTACTACTGACACTAATACAAACAATGTATTATAGGAGCTAACTTCATTACAAGCTTTTATATTATCAGGTCATAATAATTACTCTTGAAAAATACCTCCAAAGCCTTACTCTGTTTGCTGAACTGACATAGGCATCTCACACAAGGATCGCCACCTACCTTCAGCCTGTCGCCATTGGCAAAGTCTTCATCCGTGGCTGTCACTCTGTAAATGGATTGAAACAGTGGGTAGTCCTCATCAAGTTCCACAGTAGCTGTGAAGCAAAACCATCATGTATCAAAAGATAAAGTGTACCATGCATTCATTATCTCTTTAAGAAAAACAGAGCAAGATTCACTTCAGGTTGGATAGTGGGGCTTTAAGATAGCTAGCTCTTCTCACTTCTGCATTTTTCCTCTGAGCTTCTTGTCACCCTTCCTGCCACAATAGTGACTTTTCATTACTTCTTGGCATTTTGGTGGCAACTCTAGCCGATTGAGAACAGTGTGACAAATACGATGAAAAGCTGTCCTGAGGGGATCCAGCACGTGGCCTCCCCAGCTTCCTGTGCTCCAAGTTTAGACCTGATGGGACCAGGCAGCAAAGAGTTCTGTTCCTTACAGAAGCATTTGCAAGGACAACAAATTAACAACACCCTGGACACCTCCTAACATCTTCCCACATCCTCGACCACAGCTTAAAAGAAAATAACTTGCAATACAACGTGGATGGAGTGACTTCAGGAAGTACTCAGGTTAAAGTAATTGTTTTATTGACTTCTGGTGTGTTGTTTGTGAGTGTTTGTGTGTTGTGTCTTTACAGTCTATTGTAATATGAATTTGAAATAGTTTCACTCAAATTGAGTAATATCAAATTTTAAATATTTATTTCTTACACATACAATCAGGGGATCAAGTTTCTATTATAACAAATTTAAATTCTAACAAATTGCCCAACTGAATTTAATGTGGTTTTTTTTTAAGATTTTATTTATTTATTTGAGAGGTAGATTTACAGACAGAGGGAGAGACAGAGAGAAAGGTCTCCATCAACTGGTTCACTTCCCAAATGGCTGCAATGGTGGGAGCTGGGCCGACCTGAAACCAGGAGCCAGGATCTTCCTCTGGGTCTCCCACACAAGTGCAAGGGACCAAGTACTGCTTTTCCAGGCCAAAGAAGAGAGTAGGATTGAAAGAGGAACAGCCGGGACACAAACTGGCACCCATATGGGATGCTGGCGCAACAGGTAGAGGCTTAGCCTACTATGCCACTGCGTGGCCTTTTAAAGTAAGGTAGTGAGGGACACTGGTGGCTACTTAGAACCATGTCTCCTGCCCAATATTTTCTGCAGAAACAATAATAAAGAAAAATTATATGCAAGTCATGCCCTCAGAGTGTTTATAGACAGAGCATTACCAAGCATCATAACAAACTTTAAGTAAATTTTTTTTTAATTTTTTTTTGATAGAGTGGACAGTGAGAGAGAGAGAGAAAGGTCTTCCTTTGCCGTTGGTTCACCCTCCAATGGCCGCCGCGGCTGGCGCGCAGTGGCCAGCGCACCGCGCTGATCCGATGGCAGGAGCCAGGTGCTTATCCTGGTTTCCCATGGGGTGCAGGGCCCAAGTACTTGGGCCATCCTCCACTGCACTTCCCTGGCCACAGCAGAGAGCTGGCCTGTAAGAGGGGCAACTGGGACATTAAGTAAATTTTTTTAAACAGAAGCAAGTTCAACAAATCCTAGCAAATAAAATCTCAACTTTCTATCCAACCATGATGTCTTTTTTCAAGCAAGAAATGACCCAGAAAACCTGTAGGTAAGAGAAAAAGAGAAGGCTAACAACAGGCCTGACAATGATACAAAATGATTGCCAGAAACATGGAGTCTACCCAAAGTGTAAAAAACTAGAAATTCTATTACGTTCAAAGTACCACACATGGTTAGCCCCAAGCCTCACACTCCCAAATTAATTTTTTGTTACAGACAAATAAATAATAAAACATTAGATTTTAAGATAATAAACATTTTTTAAAAGAATGACGTGGTCCGGCAATGCTAGCATCCCACGTGGGCGCTGGTTCAAGATCCGGCTGCTCCTCTTTTAATCCAGCTCTCTGCTATGGTCTGGGAAAGCAGCAGAAGATGGCCCAAGTCCTTGGGTACCTGCAGCTGTGTGGGAGACCTGGAAGAATCTCCTGGCTCTTGGCTTTGGATTATCATAGCTTCAGCCATTGTAGCCATTTGGGGTGTGAACCATCGGATGGAAGACCTCTCTCTCTTGCTCTCTGACTTTGTCTCTCTGTAACTCTGCCTTTCAAATAAATAAATAAATCTTTAAAGAAAAAAATAAAGCAAAATATGTGTTAGAGGAATATAGGTCTCTAGAACTTCTCAGAACACTAAGCTTAAAGTTTAAATTGTTTAATTTTCATTTTATTTGAAAGGCAGAGAAAGATCTTCCATCTGCTAATTCACTTCCAAAATGCCTGTATCAGCCAGGGATGGGCCAGGATGAAGGCAGGATAGTGCTGGATCAGAAGCAAGGACACTCCAATATGGGATTCAGGCAAACTAAACAGCAACTTACCCATTGTAAGAAATGCCTGCCCGGGGAGAGCAAGGTCGCCAACCACGTGGAAGCTGAGCCCCAGGAGCCACCAGGACCCGCTGGACCCGCCTGACCCACTGGAGCCACAGAGTCTGAGCGCCAGCGCTGGAAGGGGAGGTGAGCTAAAAACCTCTTGGTAACCCGAGACATTGGCGGGGAAAGGCAGAAAAAACCTGCAGAGAACGAAGCCTGAAACCCCATTGGGGAAAGTTCACCAGGCTGGCTGGAGGAGAGAAAAAATCGAATAAATAAGGGGAACCTGCACGGACATTTAGCCTCTCTCTCCACTCACCTTACAAAGCCGAGCAAGACAAAGGGCAGGCGCCATTTTGCATATGTAAAGCGGGTGTCTCTCATTAGCCAAGCAGAAAAACCTGACTCTGGTAATCAAACGAATACTCACAGGGGACAGATTTCATACATCAACTACTCTCAATTCCACTCAGCTGTGTGGAATTACTTCCCAACTGAGTCAAAAAAAAAAAAAAGAGAGAGAGAAAGAGTGAGAGTGAGCAAGAGAACAATCAGGGTGAATCACCTTTGGCACACCCTTAACCCTGTAGAACCAGAGCTCTCTGGTCACACCCATCACAGCCTCTAAGGATCCATTAAAAGCAGACAGTCCTCTTAATCTAGAGTCACAGTATAACGAGAAAAAAAAAAAAAAAAACAAAGAATATCTCCAATATGACAAACGCAAAAGCCGAGGTAACAAGAACAAGGAAGACACTATGACGCCCCCAAATGAAATAGACACCCCAATTCAAGATTATGAAGATGATGAGATAGAAGAAATGTCCATTCTCCCAAAAGGAATTTACAGATTCAATGCGATACCAATCAAGATACCGAAGACATTCTTCTCAGACCTGGAAAAATGATGCTGAAATTCATATGTTGACACAGGAGACCTCGAATAGCTAAAGCAATCTTGTACAGCAAAAACAAAGCTGGAGGCATCACAATACCAGATTTCAGGACATATTACAGTTGTTATCAAAACAGCAGGGTACTGGTACAGAAACAGATGGATAGACCAATGGAACAGAATAGAAACACCAGAAATCATCCAAACATCTACAGCCAACTTAAATTTGATCAAGGATACAAAACCAATCCCTGGAGTAAGGACAGTCTATTCAATAAATGGTGCTGGGAAAACTGGATTTCCACATGCAGAAGCATGAAGCAAGACCCCTACCATTCACCTTACACAAAAATTCACACAACATGGATTAAAGACTTAAATCTATGACCCGACACCATCAAATTACTAGAGAGCATTGGAAAAACCCTGCAAGATATAGGTACCGGCAAAGACTTCTTGGAAAATACCCCAGAAGCACAGGCAGTCTTGGAAAATACCCCAGAAGCACAGGCAGTCAAAACCAAAATTAACATTTGGGATTGCATCAAATTGAGAAGTTTCTGTACTGCAAAAGAAACAGTCAGGAAAGTGAAGAGACAACCAACAGAATGGGAAAATATATTTGCAAACTGTGCAATAGATAAAGGGTTAATAACCAGAATCTACAAAGAAATCAAGAAACTCCACAAAAAACAAAATAAACAACCCTCTTAAGAGATGAGCCAAGGACCTCAATAGACATTTTTCAAAAGAGGAAATCCAAATGGCCAACAGGCACATGAAAAAATGTTCAAGATCACTAGCAATTAGGGAAATGCAAATCAAAAGCACAATGAGGTTTCACCTCACCCCGGTTAGAATGGCTCACATGCAGAAATCTACCAACAACAGATGCTGGCGAGGATGTGGGGAAAAAGGGACACTAACCCACTGTTGGTGGGAATGCAAACTGGTGAAGCCACTATGGAAGTCAGTCTGGAGATTCCTCAGAAACCTGAATATAACCCTACCATACAACCCAGCCATCCCACTCCTTGGAATTTACCCAAAGGAATTTAAATTGGCAAACAAAAAAGTGGTCTGCACCTCAATGTTTATTGCAGCTCAATTCACAATAGCTAAGACCTGGAACCAACCCAAATGCCCATCAACAGTAGACTGGATAAAGAAATTATGGGACATGTACTCTATAGAATACTATACAGCAGTCAAAAACAATGAAATCCAGTCATTTGCAACAAGATGGAGGAATCTGGAAAACATCATGCTGAGCGAAATAAGCCAATCCCAAAAGGACAAATATCATATGTTCTCCCTGATCAGTGCAACTAACTGAGCACCAAAGGGGAAACTTGTTGAAGTGAAATGGACACTATGAGAAACAGTGACCTGATCAGCTCATGTCCTGACGGTTGATGTACAATGTAATACTTTATCCCTTTTAGTATTTTTTTTTGTTCTAGTTAATACTATTTGTTGAACTCTGTAATTAACACACAATTATTCTTAGGTGTTCAAATTTTAACTGAAAATTGATCCCTGTTAGGAATCTGGAAAGCATTTTGCTGAGTGAAATAAGCCAGTCCCAAAGGGACAAATACCATATGTTCTCCCTGATAGGTGACAACTAACTGAGCACCAAAAAGGAAACCTGTAAAAGTGAAATGAACACTATGAGAAATGGTGACTTGATCAGCCCTTGCCCTGACTGTTGATGAACAACTTAATCCATTATCCCTCTTAGTATTATTTTGTTTATCTGTTCCACTTAATACTTTTGGTTGAATACTGTAATCAATA